ACCTCTGCCCTGGGCCTTGAACCTGCAGGTCCCTCCCCTGTGGGACTGGGGTCTGGGAGGATCTGCAGCCCAGGGGGCACCTCCTGGTGGGCTGAGGATGAGCGGGTCTCAGGGGACGGGGTCTGGGTGGGTGCCGGGCCCCACGGAGAACCTTCAGGCTGGCTGCTCCTCTCCATGGTCCCTGGTCCCCAACTCTCCACTGGGGTCCGGGCCGGGTGCTAACCCCCAGCATGGCCAGGTGGGACCCTGGTGACTTCAGCTACTCCCATGGGCCCTTCATTCCCATCCCAGGGTGGGGTCTTGTTCCAGCATCTCAAGACACTTCTGTGCCAGGTTCTACTTCCCAAAGCCCAGCTGCAGGCTCTGCCCACCCCCGACTGCACCCCTGAGCTACAGATAACCTAAATCAGCAGCCCTTCTCTGGGAGGCTCCCCTCAAAGGGCGTCCCCTCTGCGGCCCTGACTAGGCATCCCCCGCGCCCCTGCTCCAGCTCACGCTCGCCTCTGCCTGGGTACGTGAATCCGGCAGGCACTGGGTTTGCCGTATTCAGTGGCCCTCTGTCTCAGAGGCCATTTAGCCTCTCCCTCTGGGATGGAGTAAGTCAAAACCTGTACTGTGTATCCATATTTGTCATGCTGGGACCATCATACCAGTTTCCAGAGTATAGACATCTGAGTTGTTAAGAAAATTAGAAATTAATTTTTTCCCAGTGGAAAAGTCACTGGAATCTGAACAGATCAGGAACCCCACAATTCAGCTCCAACACAAGACGGGTGAGGAGGGAATCAAGATGTAAGGACTGGAACAACTTTTACTTACAGGTCCCCCCTCATCACCAGGATAACCTCGGTAGCCGTCTTCTCCAGGAATCCCCTGAAACAAAGCGAGCAAAGGTCCTCGGTTAACTCATCGGGTTTCCTCTGTGCTGCACTTAAGCCTCTCCCTGGCCCCCCTCCATCTGGAGGAGCAGTCCTGTAGGGGCGCCTTGGGGTAACTGTTTCCCACTCATTGTTTCTATCAGGATCTTTAAGACTCTCGATCTTGCAAGAAATCCTGTACGCTTCCTAGGACTTGGAGGCAAACGTGAAGATCCCTGCTGACCATCGTAGGGAGGCTGCCAGTCAACGGTGCCCCCTGGTCTTAACATTATTTTAGAAAATGAAGAACCAATGCAATAAAGGAAGAAGGGGTGGGAAGGGATACATCGGGAATTTAAGATTTGCAGGTGCAAACTACTGTACATAAAATAGATAAACAACACACCCCCAGCACAGAGAACTCTAGTCAGCATCCTGTAGTAGCCTATAATGAAGAAGAGTATGAAAAGGCATACACATATGTACACATGTGACTGAGCCGTCATGCTGGGCGCCGGAAACTGGCACGACACTGTAAACTGACTGTACTTCAACTGCAAAGGAAAAGAACAGACCCTCCCCAACCCCACGGAAAGGCAGGATGCGGCAGACACCCGGGCGCCGTCTGCACCTCAGGTCGCCTGTCGTGCAGCCTGGGCTGGTCCTCTGACAGCAGGGAAAGGTCCCAGCCAAAGCCCCAGCGGCCCCGAAACCTGGTCTCAGGCACAAAAAGTGAGTCGGACCACCATACCTTCGGCCCGATGCTGCCAAGGGGCCCTCGGTCTCCCCTCTGTCCAGAGCACTTGCAGGGGACCCCACAGCAAGCTTTCTCAGCAATGTTGTCCTGCCGAAACAAAGGAACGAAGAAGTTCAAGTCTCCATAAATGACGATGGAAAAAAGCAGCACCAGTGTACCAAAAGGCCCGGACCCGAGGGGCGCGGACCTCACAGCGGGAGGGGAAGCCCCCCGCCCCGCACGGCCTTCCCCGGAAGGGCTATCAGGCAGGGCCAGGGTGGGGGGAGGGGGCCACCAGTGGAGACTGCGGAGCCACCCAAGTCAGTAAATCTCGTTCACAGTGTCACCCCAGGCTGGGCCTTGCCTCTAGAAGCTCCCACCAAACATACCCAAGCACCAAATGTTAAGCAGAACTGAACGCATTTTGAATCTCCAAAAAGCAAAACCTAACAAACCAACTGCAGACGGGCAGGATGGAAGCTGGTTGCAGGTGGAGACCGTACGCCCTTCCTCAGAACCCCAGTCAGAGCCGCGGAACGTGGCGCCAGCCTGGAGGAGCCCTGGGAGCAGCCGTGGTGCGGGGTCCCTGCCTCTTCGCCACAAGCGCCACCCCTCCAGGCATCAGCGCCTCTGACGCCCGTCTGACACCCCGGACACTCCCTTCCCGCCCTGACCCCGTGCAGGAAAGCGCAAGCCCGAAAGACACTTCCACCGGCTGAAGTCATGGTGCTCAATGCATTTTCTTGCAGTGAATTTCCTAGAGTTTTCATTTTCCCCCATGTCCCAGGTTTGTCAATTCTCAACCTGCTTCCACTCAATTAAAAAAAACAACCCCAATTCCAGCCCGAGCCCCAAGCCTTGGAGTTAACCCCACCCACTGAGGATTTGCAAGCCTCCCGGGGCGCCATCGTGGGCTCCAAGGGGACTGGAACAGAAGGCCAAAGAAACACATTTCCACCGAGAAATGGTCTCTCCTTCCCTGCATATTCTTGTTCTCACTGTTTCCCATTTGGGGAGGGGAGAGGGTCAGTCTCGACGTTATGCCTTCTCTGCATCTTATAGATGAAAAGAAATCTCACGAAAGGGAGAGAAGAAAACTCTCCGCCGCAGCGTCGGCCGCCTGGAGACCTGTTTCCCAGCCCCCCATCCCCCTGTTCTCTGAGATCTCCGTTTGCAGGATCCATCCATGTTATGGCAGCAAAGCAGCTCTCAAGTCAATTAAATGAGCTAAATGGCCGCCCAGAGGTCCCTGATGACTGGCGTCATCATCTTGAGATGCCAAGAATGGAGGTACCTCAACCCGTCAGTGTGCAGACACGTAACACACTCACAAGCTGCTCCGCCAGCTCATAATCCAGGTCCAGCAAGTTCAGCCTCAGGGGCCGGTTGTATGTAAATCCCCGCCCGAACTCCAGCTGCATCAGCTGCTCCAAGTTGGCCACGCGCTCCAGGCCCACCAAGATCAGAGCTCGGACGCCTGTGGGGACAGGCACACTTACAAGGCTCGCCTAGGCGTTCGAGAGCCCCAGCATTTTTCCCTCCTGACTCTTTATTTTCAAAGAAAGCGTCAGTATAAAATTTCGCCATGAAATGAAACACGTTTAATCATACTCGTTAACTTTCAACTCTTTCAAGAGTTGGAACACAGGAACTTTGGACTCCTCGGAGCAATAGATTCAGATACCTCTGTAAGTAAGCTGATCAATGTAGCCACAGGAAATGGCACCGTGAAGTCTATTCATGAGTAAGTCCTCAAACTCTGGTTCTGCATAACCCGGGTGGGCTGCGGGAAGAACTGAAATCCCACATCTCCAAAACCAGGCACTAGCAGTCTCAGCTCCTCTGCTCCGGAAAAGCAAGGTAATAACTAGAACGTTTCTGGGATAAGTTACACTTCCGTAAATTCTTCTTAAACCTCTGGTGTTGGCGCTCACTTTTTGATAGTCAGTGCTACCGAATTCCAAAGCAAACGAACAGTCAACTAGCACATCTGGTAACGGGCTTCATCGCCTATCCAGTCACCCTGCACTTGGACAGCATGCCTTCATCATTCCGTATTAAAGTGTATCTTAACAGTGCAGTATTTTTGAACTGTGGTAGCTGCTGACTGAAAATGCAGCAATAGTTTTTGCTAGAAAGTTAATTCCTAGTTTATATGGTGTAACCAAATGAATCAAAACTTCATGTTCTTTTGCAAAAGCACCAAGCCTTCTAGATGCTCTACCGTGTCGTGAATGAGCCTGAGGCCCCAGGGGGCCCGGGCCGGGACCAGGTGATAGAGCTGTCTCGTAAGTCAGGGGTCCTTGTTGGCTCTATCCCGTCGCCCCAGGCAGGCGACAGAGGGTCAGGGTGCTGGGAGGACCTGTCCTCCAAGAGAAGCCACTCCGCCAGACGGTCCATCAGTGGAGTTGCTCCTCTCCAGCCCAGCAGTGCGCCTGCCTCACCCAGGTCTGCCTCTCCCTCTTAGAAAGCCCGGAACTTACCTTCCTGTCGGAGTTCCTCAGATGCTTTTTGTAAATCAGCCATGTCTCCATCCACCCCATCGGTAAAATGAATGATCACCTGAAGATAAAAGAAGAGTCAGAGGAAAATGACTCAGTTCTTCTTCTTACAACTGCAGAAACTGAGGACCGAGGTTGAGAAACAGTCACCCTCCTTTCAGAGTTCCTTGACACTGTGCAGTAAACGAGGTATGAAACAAACGGGTTTATTGCAGCGCTCGGCTTCTTAAAGAGCACAAACAACAATGGAAATGAAAAGTTGACCTCATTCTCTCATCCGGGGGGAGTAGCTCCTAGAACTCGTCTGTGTGTGTGTGTGTGAGACAGGCTGAGCTGTGTCCCTCCACAATTCCTGTGTTGGAGGAATTTTGTGTTTGGTGATAGGGCTTTTAAAGAGGGAATTAAGTTAAATGAGGCCATTAGAGTGGGCCTCATCCAACATGACTGACGTCCTTCTCAGTAAAGGTGATTAGTTCAATAAAAAAATAGCAAAAAAAAAAAAAAAAGAGGTGATTAGGACACAGACACACACAGAGGGAAAACCATGTGGAGACAGAGGGAGGAGACACCATCTACAAGCCGCGTAGAGACAAAGGGAAAAACAACCCTGGGGGGGCGTCAGGACGGTGGGACAGGAGGTGGTGGAGCGCACGCGCCCCCACAGATCCGTCAGAACTGCGTCTGCCTGGGGCTCGGTTCTCCCAGAATACGCTAGAAGGAAAAACCGACCCTGCCGATTCTCTGATCCCGGACTTTCAGCCTCCAGGACCGCGAGGGAACACATTTCCACTCTTAAGCCACCCAGCCTGTGCCGTGGTACTTTGTCATGGCAGCCCCAGTGAACTGTGTGTGTGTGTGTGTGTGTACACAAATACAGAGGAAGAGAGAGACAAATATGTAAAAGTAGAGAACATAACGCATTTAACGGGCAAGACTAGGATTAAACATGAATTAATCACAGATGCAACTCATCCAAGCTTAAGTACTGATTTCCAAGATTTCTGTTCAGGGCTTTAGTAAAACGAGGAAGGCGCCACGTCCCAGGACAGGATGATCAGCTGCCATAAAGGACTTTTACGTCCAGGCACTCCCACCCCCATCAAATGAGAAGAACATCTAGACAAGACGGGTTGGGGGAGGGGCTCCCGGGCTTGAAGGCGGCCCAGGCAGCGGGAAAAGGCGCCGCCCAGCTCACCTTCACGCCGTCGGGCGACGCCTGCCGGAGCTTGTTCTGGTAGAGCCTCAGCGTGTCGGCGGTGAGGACGTAGGGGTGCTGGTTGCGCATGTTCCGGAACTTCTCAAACAGCTCCGGCTGGTACTCAGCGAAGTCAAAGGCCTCCACGGGGCCCGAGGGCGAGTTGGCCACCACCGACACCCGCACCGTGGGCATCTGGTTGCCGCTGCAGCTGATCCTCTGCATCTGGCTGATTCTATTCAAGACGGTGTCCACCTTGGACTCAAGGCCCTTCTGAGCGACGAATACATTCTGATCGCTTGAACCATCAAAGCCCAGGATCACATCCAGATTACAGGCTGTCAAGGGAAAAGCAGGCGATGAGCCCTCAGTCCACCTGCCGAGACGCATTCAACGCACAGGCACCGCCCCAGACGTGGACCGGGACACCACACTCAAGGGCAACACGAGATCTTCTGCGTATGAGCTCCGAGAAGCGATTAGATCTGCCTCTCCTTCCCCCTGGAACACTGGTGCTGACCCTTAGGAGCCAAAATTATTGGCCATTTTAGCGTGGCTGCTTTGGTGACGTTAATCAGCTTTGGCATGGTGCATAGTCAGTGTTCAAATGCATCCCAAGTTTGTGCTTTAATTAAACACACTTGAGAACTCAAACACTCTGATCTAAAATAATTGATCTAATGAACCTATAAAGAGAAACAGGGATGAGTGAGTCTGAATAATTCTGGGGATTAAAGAATAACGGGGGAATGTAAATCTGGTGAGAACAAGGAAAGACACATGTCCACTCTCATCCCGGAAGCACAGCCCCTAACAACGGTAGGTGACAACCAGGACCCAGCCCACGTGGACGTAAGTAAATGCCTGAGCATCGGGTGCTAAGGAGCCCTGAGGCCAGTGCTGGGGGCCTAGGAACCAGACAACGCCAACATGGACAGGACAGGGGTGAAAATATGCGCCTCGAGGGGCTTACCTTTGGACACATCAGTGACACCCGGACACAGGGTCTCATGCATGGCGTCATGCAGAGTTTCCAAAACTTGCTCGCTCAGCTCCGACAGCTCCTGGACGTTCCCCACGCGGAACGCCGTCGCGCTGTTGGAGGCTATCTTCCCCACCTCCTCTGAGTCGATGTTCCTCACGCCCACCGCAAACACCTTGACACCTCTCTGGGTGAGGGCCAGGCTGGCCTCCTGCGCATCCTCCACTGACTTGCCTCCCGTGATCACAAAGGCAATCTGCGGGACCCTCTGGTCCACGCGGCTGCCCGCCTCCGGCACAAAGTGATTCACCCGCAGGTGCTCCAGGCCCACCCTGGTGTTTGCGTGCCTCCCCCCTTTGTAGACCACTTTGTTGATGGCGTCGATAATCTGCTGCTTGGTGGAAAAGTCTTTCAGGAAGAACTCGTCGGTGGGGTCAGAGTTGTACTGGACCAGCCCCACTTGGATGGAGTCACCCCCTTCATAAACTGTGTCCACAATTTCGGACACAAAACGGAGCACTTCCTGGAAACTGTCCCTCCGGAAATTGATGGAACCATCCAGCAGGAACACGATGTCAGCTTTCTTTTTCTCTGAAAATGATAGCAATGGAAAAAAGAGAAATTTGGTTCCCACATTCAGGAAAAAAATGGGAAAAGTAAAATGAGTGGAATGAGGCAGCCCTGTAGTTTGTTCACAGAGAACACTTCTGCTGTATTCCCTGCCTCTATAGCTCCCAAAATCACAGGCCTCAAAACATCACGCCAAAAACAGGAAGATAAATGGCAAGTCATCTAAGCCAAAAGGAGAATCAGTGGCACTGTGCAAATGGTGTTATGTCCAGATTCCGTCATCCGTGATGTTTTAGAAAATGCCACTAAAGCTTTCCCCCTGGTCAAAAAGAAATGATGGAGGGCTGGGGGTACAGCTCAGCGGTATTAGCATGTGCAGGGTCCTGGGTTCAATTCCCAGGACCTCCAAATAAAAAAAGAAAATTTAATAAAAGAAATAAATGGTAGCATCTCGCGGGAATCGGGGGAGGAGTGCTAGAGGCAGGGCAAGGAAGGGCCAGGAGAAACAGACTGGAGAGTGGGAAGCACGCGCCTTGCACCTGTGGAGTACTGCTGACCAGCATGGCGAGAGGTCGGCTGGAGTCAGCTGAAAATCGATGGCCCTTGGCGATCAGGTACTAATCCTAACCAAAGGATCGAGACTGCAGTAGAGAGAAAGGGAATCTGGAGAAATGAGAGGTTCTCCACCCAGCAGGGTAGGAGGACATGAAGGAGCGAAGCGAATACAGCTGCCCCAGGGAAGACCAGCCTCATCATTCACTCCAGGTGTCTGCGTGGCCATCGCCTGGAGGAGGCACTAAGGAAGACGTGGGTTGGTGGAGGGGCTCCATCTGCTTTTGGCAGCCCCAGCGGTCAGACCCAGGAGCATGAGGCACACGCTACAGGGGAACAGCTCTCGCCTCCCCCGGGGAGGTGCTTCCTGACCACACCAATCCCAGGGAGGAGGCTTGCCTGGACCATGGGAGGCACCCTACCCCTGGAGAGAGGCTGATTTCCCGGTCATGTTTGGAGGGGCATGGACTGAACAACTTCAGAGATGCCATTTTATTCTGAGAGCCAATGAGTCTGTGGTTGACCCTCAATGCATTTTTATGGAACCTTTCAATGGGGCTACAATTAGCTTCATGGAAACTCACGGAAGCCTCATGGAAGGATCCATGACCGCATGCCTCTGAGATGTGTTTCCTTCTGTTCATTCTGCAATCTCAACTAAATTATTTTTCCAGTGTTTAATGTCTACTATTATCTGCAGTGACAGCCCGAGAGAAGAAGATTAAAGGAATGCTAATTGCTTTTTTCAATTTAAAAAGTTGGTGTCACACCCTATAGTCACAGGTCATACCTGGCCGTGAGGGAGGGAACGTGTCCACTCCCGGAGGTACAGGAGTGACCCCAGAGGGTCCAAAGGAGTTCAAGACCCTTTCTTCAATGTTGGGGAGCTCTTTGAACTCCCTCACGGTGAAGACCAGCCTGGGGTCGTTGGTGATGGCCTGCAGCTCCGCTCTGTCGATGTTCCGGTCTCCAACTCCTAAGCTCACAATCCCTGAGGATCTCATCACCTGGGAGAACCTGGAAACGTCATCCTGGGACTTTCCACCCAGAAACAGAACCAGGTGTTGGGGGACCCCATCTTCTATCCGGCTCCCGGCAGACTTGACAAAGAAATTCCTTGCCACGAATTCCAGAGCTTTGCCGGTGTTCAGCGGGGAGCCCCCTTTGAACCTCAGGCGACGTATGGCATCGAGCACACTGGCCTGGGACTTATAGGTCTTCAGGTAGAACTCCGGGAAGACGTCATTGCTGAACTGCACCACCCCAATCCTCACTTTATTGGGGCCAATGTTGAGTCTTTGCACGATCCTGCTAACAAAGTCTCGGATGTGTGCAATGCCTTCTGGCCTGATGCTGTCAGAGCTATCGATGAGGAAGATGATGTCTGAAGCATCGCTCTCCACCGCTGCGGATGAAGGGAAGAGACAAACTCAGCACCAGACCAGCGCGCAACCAGTTGCATTTCTGAACTTTGCGTTATACTCCATCACGGCATTAATTCACATTAAAATTATAAGCCAATGTGCATGTGTTTATCGCTTGGGGTTTTTTTTTAATCAATCATAACCAATTGGGCCTTTTGTACCAAAACAATTTCTGCTTCTTGAAATATCTGAAGTTTCCCAAAACTTTCCCTTTCTGAGTTTATTTCAGTTTCGGCTTTGTGGTCTGGGTTACAACTAATTTCAAAAAAGTAAGCAGCGTGTAGACATGAATCTTGGATGACCGTCATCTTTGAATCATGAGCTGTTACCACCAGAAGGGACTGAGATCACCCGGACCAACATCTTTGTTGTGCAAGAAGAGAAAGGTGGCTGAGGACAAAGGCTGTCTCTTTGTCCAAGGCCACCGCTTAGCCAGTGACAGCCCAGAGTATCCCAGCTGTCGCCCATGGGCCACGCCGCCCCGCTGTCTGGCTCACAGTGTTCCTTTTTCTTCTCGTATCTCTAGCATTTACCCAGATTTCATTTTCACTATTATTTCCCCTGTTCTCTCCACATGAGTCCATTTTAAATTATAAAATTAATCAGAAGTCCTGGGAAAGATGAACCCATTGATTTGAATTCTAGGTACATCTTGGATTGCCATTTATTCAACTCATATGTTGCCTCTAGACAAATTCAACCCATCTTTTGCCTCAGAAATCACTGGCTGCTTATAGTGGAAACACAGCACAGTAAAAGCTAAGCAAATGGAGTTGAACCATTTATGTTGAGAAGGAGAAAAGCTGGCCCGGCACCTCACGGCCAGGCCATGGACTCCCTCGTGGAGCACCACAGACTTCACAGAACACTGACATCAGAGAAAGCCACGCTGTAATCGTATCTGAACACTGACCAAAAGAAGACAAAAATAACCGAACACCTCCACCCTGGGTCATCAGTGGCCACCGCTCCTTTACCCATTACGGCTTTAGCCATGAGATGCGGTAAGATCTCACTCACAGGATGACTCGCCCTTCTTGACGGCACGCACTCAGGGCAAAGTCCCATTTCCTCAAGCCTTCCGCAAAATCACCTATGATGAGTCCAAATCCTGTGCTGAGCCTTTTCTAACACCCTCTGGCTGAGATGCCCGGTGGCTGCCCACCGTGTGCGTCCTCCTCCCTGCGTCCAGCTGTGGACCCACAGGTTCAATCACGGGTGGCCCGTTACTTCGATTGTACTTTTGAGAAGCATGGACTTTGAGCCTGTGATTTTTCATGTTCAGGAAAGACAACGGAGAAGAACAAACACCTGGTCTTACCTGGAGGAGGGAAGCGGCTGGTGGCCAAGATCTGCTGAATCTGCTCCGAGGTTAGGGTGGTGATGGGGGTCAGCAGCTTCTGCTCCAGGCTGGGCAGCTCCCGGAAGGTGCTCACTGAGAACACGTACTCGGGGCTCAGGGAGATCTTCACCAGCTCCTCCGGGTCTGCGTTCCTTCCGATTGTAACTGGTGCCACGCCAAACTGCTTGAGTTCTACTGCTGAGTCGTCAACTTCGTCGTCAGACTTCCCGGAGGAAATGAGGACCAGGAACTGAGGGACGCCCTCTTCAATCCGGCTCCCCAGCGGCCTCTTGAAGATATTCCTTGACACGTACTCCAAGGCACCCCCAATGTTGATCTGCCGCCCACCTTTGGGCCGCAGCCGCCTCAGCGCATTCTGCACCTCGTCCTTGCTGGAGTGGGCGTTCAGCAGGAACTCCACCCTGGGGTCCTCGCTGAACTGGATGACCGCCACCCGGGTCTTGTCGAAGCCTATGTCCAGATAGTCAACCAGCCTCTCGATGAAGGTACGGATGTACTGGAACTCAGGGCCAGCACTCTGGGACCCGTCGATGAGAAAGACCACATCCCTCTTGCCGCCGAAACCTGTGAACCCACCGTGATCATGAGCGCCACCTTCACTGGCACCCAATTCTTGGTCACAGAATCACAGTTAGTCACAGACTCACAACCTGATGGGTACGGCTTCCTGATTCAGACTGCGGTGTTCAGTTAAAACACCAGTCCCAGGAGAGTCCCGGGAATTTCAGTGATTACAGTCAGAGAGGAGAAGAGGAACCAGCAGAGGGTAAGGAAGAGAAACTCCGCAGGCGGAAGAAACTAGAGCCACGTTGAGACCAAGTGGGGCTGGTGTTTTGGGAAGGAGGGACTCTCAGCTGTGACAGACGACACTCAGATCAAGTGAGACAGGGTCTGAGAACTGACCGCTAGGATGTGCCAGATGGACCTTGACCAGAGCGCTTTCTGGGAAGCAGGGAGAGTGAGCAGGCTAGGGCGGGTCCAGAGGGAGTTGTAGGCAGTAAAGACAGCGCTTTAAAAAGGAGACTGGGGGGGCCCTGGGGGTGAGCAGGGCATCGAGGGAGTTTTTAAAAGAGGAGAAAAGGCACTGTGCTTGTATCACGGAGAGTCATCTGGCCCATCAGAGAACTGAGGATGCGGGAGAGAGGAGAGTTGCAGGGGGGAAAGGAGAGGCTGCCGGGGAAGGAGACGGTTCACCCGAGGAACAGGAGGGAAGCTGAGACGGGGACACTGATGCCAGCAGGGACCGAGTGGCGCTTCTGGAAGTTATCTTCCAGTTGCCTTTTATTTTCTCAGTGAAATGAGAATCCAGATCACCGGCTCAGAGTCAGCAGAGGGAGAGAGGCATCAAGCAGGAGGAGAAGGTGGAAAATAGTCATTTTGAAGAGCAGGAGAGCAGACGGACCAGGGGAAACATGTGCTCGTGCCTAAAGTAAAGGAACTGCACACACACAGCACTTCCGAAGGCCCACAGCGTCTCCCAGGAACACCGGGGCCTCCACGTGCACCCTGAGCCAGGACTCCTGCAACCAGACAGGTTTTGGACCTTAGCATCTCCCCAAGCCTCTGCCCCTTCTGGCCACCAAGGCCACGTGGTTCCTAACTCATCACATGACTCTAGTTCCCACGCCACATGGTTACCAAAACAGAACTGAGAATGCTTTGTAACCCATGGTCCAAACAAGGAGCCCCAGGGATTTCAAGGCACAGAGAAGTCAGGAACCCACTCCTCACCTGGGCTCAGTGTGGACAGCAAAGATGCCTGCAGCCTGCTCAGCTCTTCACGGCTGAGCTGGGTCACTCTGTCCGAGATGACCTGCTGCACGGTCCCCAGCTGCCGGAAGGTGGGAATAGTCACTGCGAAGTCCGGGATGAAGGAGATGGTCTGCATCTCGGTGATGTCGGCGTTCCCAATGCCGATGCCGATGGGCACCGCCCCTCCCCTCTTTGCCACCGCCGAGGGGCCCCGCACGTCATCGCCCGACCTGTCGGCGGTGAGGACGACCAGGAGCTGCGGCACGCCTTCTGCGATCCTGCTGCCCGCAGAGCCGATCAGGATGTTCCTCAGCACGAAGTCCAGGGAGGCCCCAGTGTTGGGGGTGGGCCCTCCCAGGAGGGTCAGCCTGCGGATGGCACTGACCACGCTCTGCTTGTCCATGTACGAGTTCAGGTAGAACTCGGGCCTGGTCCGGTCACTGTACTGCACCACAGCCACGCGCACCCGGTCCGGACCCACATCCAGGCTCTCCACAACTCTCTGGACAAACTCTTTCAGCAGAGGGAAGCCACTCTGGACACCGTCAGAGCCATCAATCAGAAACACCACATCCTTTTCACCTGAAACTAGAAGGAAGTCAGCCTCCGTGACTCACACAGAACAGAGGAGGGACAACTTCATACCAGTGGTGGTGGGTGGGATAGTGGCCCCCGATATCAAGTTCCTAATTCCTGGGAGGGAATCTGCAGGAGTGATTAAATTAAGGATTACGGGGATGATGATCCTGGAGCATCCAGCTGGATCCAGTAGAATCAGTCATGTGTCCTTAGAAAAGGGAGATCAGAGGATTCCAGCCGAAGGGAGAAGATCTAAGGATGGATATGGAGATCAGGGAAGAAAGAAGATACTGTGTTGCTGGCTTAGAAGACGGAGGAAGGGGCTGAGGACAAAGGGATGCGGGTGGCGCCTAGAAACTGGAAGGGGCAAGGAAATCGAGAATCGGCGAGGAACTCCGGAAGGAAGGCAAGCCTGCAGACACCCTGATTTTAAGCCCAGTAAAACTGGTTGGGATTTCTGACCTCTAAAACTTGAGATAGTTAATTCATTTAGTGTTAAACCACTAAATGAATCCCAATTTGTTAACACAGCCATGGGGAACTAAGGCATCAATACATAGAGATCGTCCTTTTATTTTAGCACTTTTCCGTGTTTGAGCAGTACTGCTGACTTTCAAAGCTGTACTCAAGAAGAAACATTGGGGTGGGGGCTGGAGAGACAAGGGCTGAGTCTGCATAACCATTCGCATTTTACAGCTGGGAGGTCTCAAATGATTTGCTGCAAGTCACAGTGGGTCACTGGGTGAAAACGTAACCCAGATGTCCAGTTTACAACCCAAAGCCAACAGTGAACGTACCCAATAGTCAACGCAGAAGCTCTAGTTTCTCTGGTTTTTAATCAAAGGGATTATATGCGAAATTACTCTTTTCACTGCATTTTTGTCACCACAGGGAAAGCGGCTGAACATGAACTCACGGCCACGAAGATGAGTGCTTGAAAATTTTAATGCAGTGTTTGTAATGGGGACGGGCCTGCCTCCCTTCACACTTTATGTTTTTAATGAAGGTAGAGAATGAATTCTAGCACAGTGATACCCACTTAAAATCAGATACTGGGGGATATGAAGATAAATACAGCTTTAGCTCTAATGCAACCACGTTGTAAGGCTTTTATTGCGCACATTGTAAAAATAGAGCTTTTTTTTCCCAAAAAAAAAGGGATTTTTAACCACTGATCTATCTAAACGTTTATAATGTTATTTTATGGTGAAATACTCTAATGTCTTTAAAAGTATTCACCCTGATTCTCCTGTTTTGCCCCAAAGAGCAGTTAGAGGGTCAACTTGGGGAAAGAAAAGTCATATTCCATTGTTTCTACAGAAATCCCCTAGCTTTCTTGGAAATCCGAGGAGGGTGTCTCCCTGAGGACCTGAAGCCAGCACCCTACAGTTGACTCTGCACGACAGAACAGGGCTGCAGAAGCAACCAGAAGTTCTCTGCCTTACCTGGTGTTGGCGCCCCATTTTGCACCGATTTCAAGAGGTTCACGATCTGTGGTTGGAGGTCTCCAATCTTGGGAAGCGACTCGGCAACCAGGATGAAGGCGGGGGAAGGCACGATGAGCTCCAGCTCTGCCGGGTCTGCGTTCTTGGCCTGGAGGATGAAAGGCACCACCCCGCTCTGTTTCAGGTTGAGTGCCGGCCCGTCCACGCGGTCCGACGACCTTCCCGCCACCAGCAGCACCAGGAACTGCAGCACTCCGTCCTCGATCCGGCTTCCGGCGGACTTCACAAAGATGTACCTCTGCGCGTAGTCCAGGGCGTAGCCCAGGTTGAGGGCTTTGCCCGTCTTGATCTTCATCCTCTTCACGAGATTCAGGATTTCGGGCTTATTCTGGTGCTCGTCAAAACGGGACTCCACCCGGACGTCATCGCTGTACTGAGCCACCGCGACCCGAGTCCCCTCGGGTTTCACATTCAGCTCGTCGATGATCTTGTAGAGGAAGTCGCGGACGGCGGGGAACTGGCCCACGAGGTTGGCCGAGCCGTCAAAGAGGAACAGAATGTCCCGCTTGCTCTCTGCAATGAAAGTGGGTGAGGACAGAGTGAGGGACAAGATCACAGCAGGTGCTTAGCCCAGCACCGCCAGCCGTGGGTAATGGGGGTTCAGGAAGTGCGTCTGGCGATCAATGCACCGGCAAGGGAAGGAAAACCCACACCAGCTGCCGCTCCAGCGCCCCCTTCCAGAGCGCTGCATCTTTGCACAGGACTACAGCTCCCAGCCTGGTCTGCTCAGCCCAGCATCACACTTCTTTCACAGAGCCCAAAGAAAAGCCCAGAGGGTTCTGCTCTTGCATCAGGTGGCACTCACTCCAGGAGAACAGCATTTTCAAATGGTTAGAAACAAAACTATTGAAAATATGATCCTTAGTGTCCTTTTGCTTAAAGAACTGATCTGTCTCTAGTGACAAAGGCTGAAATGGGTTAATCACCCAAGTATAACTGAGTCGACACATAAACGTGTCACAGATGCTCTAACTGGATTTCCTTTTCGTTAAATTTGACGTTATGGGTTAGAACCCAAAACAGTGCCCATTATCAGTCTGTGGGTCCAGCTCTATGTCAGTGACTTTCAATCTGCCATGATCGGACAACAGAAAACACAGATGAGCCCATGGAGGGCTACAACACATCATGTGAACATTATTTTCGGCTCAAAGGGTTCTTGGAACTATTCCAATTAGGTTTCAGTTGGATCAGTCTGGCTACCCATCAGTAGGGTGTGAGCAAGTCAGTGGCTCCTGTGTGTCCGTATCTTGCCACCATATTCATGTGCAATCATCAGCACCCAGGTTTTCTCTGGAAACCATTTCACCATCATGTGATGACACAGCCTTTGCTGGGTTTATGACAAGTAATTTTTTAGAGACAGCAGATTTGGAACATTAAAAAAAAAACATCTCAAGAAACTAATTTCAATTTTGGAAATGCTCCCAACACATACTCACTCAGGCACGAAAGGGAGTCTCTCCCTCTCTCTCTCTCTCTCTCTCTCTCTCACTGTCTCTCTCTCTCTCTGTCTTTCTCCCATTACCATCGGGATTTGGACTCCAGACTCTTCACAGGCATCAGGGCCAGAAAAGAAGTCAACCCAGCTTCTGAACGAAGGGTGAGGCAACACGGGCAGAGCGTAAGCTGGGCTTCCTAAACTTGCATGAACAGACGCCCTGGAGACAGAGGACCTACGCTTGCCGGTACAGGGTCTCAAGCCCCCATTCAAACTCCTTCCGCCGCAGGGAGCCCACTCTCCTCCTACGGCTCGTTACCACACTCTTGAGTTCAGACTGGACCACCTGCTCGGCAAAGAGGTGTCAGTTTGCAGGAGGGCTGTGGGAGAGGGCGCCCCGAGCCGCCGGAGAGCATTACCTGGCTGGCCGAGCGGAACTTCCTCCACACCTCCGCTAACATACGTGGTTAGGGGCTGAATCAGCTGCTGGGGCAAAGCCGGCAGGGAGCTGAAATCATCCATGAGGTACACCAGGCTCGGGTTAAAAGCGATCTGCTCGAGCTCGGCCTTGTCGGCCCGGCTGGCGCCCACGCAAAAGGTCAGGACGCCGGCGCGTGCCAGGGCGTTGGCCGCCTGCAGGTACGCGTCGTCGGCCGGGCCGGCCGTGAGCAGGAGCAGCAGCTGCGGCACGTGTTCGCGGATCCTGCTGCCGCCGGCCTCGGTGAAGTGGGTCGCGTGGACATAGCCTAGGGCGGCGCCGGTGTTCAGGCCCGAGCCTCCCTGGAGCTGCAGCTGCCTCACGTGAGCGAGCAGCTCTGGCTTGGTCTGGTATGTGTCTAGGGAGAACTCCGTGACCGGAGTGTCACTAAATTGCACTAAACCGACTCGGACACTGTCGCTTCCGACATCGAGGCTGTTCACTACGTTCATGACAAAGTCCCGCACGTACGGGAAGTTGGTCTTTCCAACGTTGAGTGATCCATCCAAAAGAAAGATGATATCCCTTTTGTTTGCATGAACTGCAGTGGGAGCACAGAGAACAAGGTGAGACAAACAGCACCTCAGACGAGGTCACCATGTGTGCCCGCGGGCCGGGCACACATGCCCACGTGTGGAACACAGAGAAATCCGGTGAGGCCAAGCACATCCACCTCACCAAATATGGCAGGAGGCTTGCACATTTTCCTCCGGTGGGGGCTGGTGGTTGTCAGGCACGTCGACAGTCAAGTTTACAAAACCAAGTTGGCGCAACACAGATACAGAGCCAAAGCGAGAATGTTTGCAACCAACAAAAGACAATCAGACTCCTTGAAATGGAACATGCCCCCCCCCGAAATGAATTCTGCAAGGGTGCTGTGTCTTTCTGCATCCTCGGTTAGTGACCACGGTCTCAGCCAGGATTACATGGGCGAGACTGGGTCTTTACAGAGAGATTTACACTCACGGAGAGATTACAAGCATTAGCCTAAGTTAACCAGAGAACATGAGGTCCTGAAGCCTAAAAACACCCATAAAATACTCTGCTCTCATCTTGAAACATCGCTCGGACAGCCTATTTGTCATGTGAGACTCTTCTCGTGGGGAGTCACGGCACTGCCAGGCAGTAATCCAGCCAGTGCCCTCGGGGATTCCTCGTGAGCCAGCTCACAGGATCATGGAAACACAACACGTTAAAATCCAAAAAGACTCTTGGCGAGGCCTGGTCGAGGCTCACGGAGCATCAAAAATTGATCCTCCAATCAGAGTGCTTTCCCCAACACGTGCCTCTAAAATGAAAACAGATCCTTCCCCACGTCTCCCCTGATGTTTAACCTGACAAGGAATCGTACCCTACGTTCTATCAGCTTGAACTTTGGCTGTGAAAGTGTGGATTAGAAGTTTTAAGGAAATGAGAGACAGACAGAGAGAGGGGGAGAGAGGCTTTTAGGAGAGCAGAAAGCCCGAGCAGAGAGCATGCCTCCATGCACGTGGCTCATGCGTCGAACATTCAGTGGTAAAGTTTGTGAGGCAGAAAAGCTCGTTTCCGTGATATTCATCTTCGTTGAGGACGGCAAACTGCACTTATTCAGTTGGTGAGCTCATAGACCATCATGGTAGCTTTGAAAATAGCTGCTCACTGATAACCACATCGAAGGAAGGGTCGGAAGAACCCCTGGGCTTTTTTCTGCATCCCCATCCCTTCCCTGCGCTGCCCCGTTGGAGGAAATCCCTTAAAGAGAGAGGAGAGAGGGTTCATGTTCTATGCTGGTCGGGTTTGGGCCACTTGAAAGTGGACCATCTGCTCAGGAGAGGAAGGGTCAGGCTACATCCTGGTGGTGGGAGGAGGAGGCTGGACAGGAGCCACCAGGAAAAGCAGAACACTGGGACCTCCTGGGGGTTCTGAACCAAGACGTGATCTCCTTGGTTGGAAGCTTCAAAGGCAGGTGGCCCCTGGTCTTACAGTTTAAGTCACCCAATTCTTATTTTATGGCATTTTAAGTCGTATAATTTCCAACTCAGGGTAAAAGGAAACCTGAAATAAATCTTGCCTGTTGTATCCTTCACGTAAGAGGTGTCTCTTAGCTGAACATGAATAAAACTTGGGTTTGTTTTTCCCTCAAAGGCTCTGCCTGAAGACCACCCCATTATGTGTCTGACCCCCGCCCCCCGCATCATACCTTCGGTGGTTCCAGAGAGCGTCCGGAGAGGCGCCAGCACGCTGGGCAGCAGGCCCTGCAGAGGGGCGGTCCGGAACTCATCCGGAACGAACACCAGGGTGGAGTCGAACGCGATCTCTTCCAGCTCAGCCCGGTTGGCCACCTTGTTCCCGATGGCAAAGGCCATGATGTTGCTTCTCTTCAGCTCCTGGGCTGGCTGGCTGACTTCATCTAGGGACTTACCGCCTGTAATCAGCACCAACAGCTTGGGGACCCCCTCGGCAGCCCGGTAGCCGGTCCCGCCGGTGAACAGGCTGTTCCGGACGAAGTCCAGAGCCGAGCCCGTGTACAGGGCCGAGCCCTCCAAGGGCTTCATCCTCCGCACAGCAGTCATGACTTCCCTCTTGCTGGAGTAGGTATTGAAATAGAACTCTGGCCGCACTGTGTCTGCGTACTGAGCCACAGCCACCTGGATAAGGTCCTGTCCGATTTCCAGCCTCTGGATGACCTTGGCAATGAAGTCGCGGATCGCATTGAAGTTGGCCAGTCCCAGTGCAGATGAGCCATCCACCAGGAAAACTATGTCCCTCTTGTTGACTTCGATGACTGTAGGTAGCAACGTCACAAGGTGAGTAGAAGGGCCTGACCCAGCACGTTCAGTATGACTGTCTACACTGCAAACTGCCCCCCACAGATGCTCCCACTTGCCCTGGCCACAGTGAAGTCAGTGAGAGCCCCTGAGCAATTTGTCACAATGCACATTAGTTACAACTGTGTCCTTCCCTGCAGAGGGCAGACTGGGCTCCCCAACCCCCACCCATAGTACCTTTTACAAAACAGTTGTGCAAAAATTAACGCAGTTTTATCAACCACCTATTTAGTATATCGTCGCTAAAAAAGCCAGAAAGCTCTTTTCTGCCATAAAATCTATAGCTCGTACTTTAGAGGGGAGAATGAAGCCAAAGCACAGATAATTAAAGCTCAGGTAATTAAAGACACCATCAGCGTCTGCTCGGAGGGCCCTGGGTCAGACAGCCTTGACCTCATAACCACCGATCGCCACATGCAAACCTTGAACTTTGACTCGATTCCCTTCGGTTCTGTTGTCTGTGTGTTGATTTTTCAGGAAAGGGGGAGGAAAACACCGATTATTTAACTTCATAAAATTTACGAAAAGGAAACCGACGTCAAAACCAGCAAGTGGCACAGAGGTACTTCCATTTAAGAGACCTGTGCTGTGAAGGTCCCAAGTTACATGCTAAGGCCGTGGCAACTCAAAGACAGATCACAGCCCGGACAAGATTACTGCCTCCGAGCGCCACCGACCTTCTGCCCCCTGCTGTAACCACGCAGGCAGCCCACCTGAGTCTCGGGGGCCAAGCCCCCAGTCCAGAAACCTGACAAGTCTTCCAAGACTCATAAGCTCATCAGAGTTAAAACTGAGGCAGGAGGGTTTGTAATTTATTAAAGGATTATCTGGACTGGGGAGGCCTCCGTTACTGCGTGCAGAGAGCCGGATGGTATGTAAGACTTGACTTTTGACTACACTGACATGATGGGTGCAAGCTCTCCTCTTTAAGAGGAAATGTTACTGCACCAGCGAGACAGAGCATCCAGGAACAGGCACGTGGGGACCACTGCTTTGGCCTCAAGTTGCGGGGTAAACAATCAATTCCAAGTCCTCAAATTCTCCATAGAGGCCTGCAGACCTGTGGGTTCTCCCTACATGTGGGGGCTGAGGGACACTGGGTGCCACGCACCCTGCCGTCCCCTCCCCCTCTCCATATATGCACAAAAACTTACGTACAGCTACACAGGTAGCCACACGTGTGCTTTTTAGACACACACAGGACAGCAAGCACGCCTGGACACACACTCACACACACACACACACACACACACACACACACACACACACAGACGCCATCTACACTGAGGATGGAGACTTGACACCATCAATGCAGAGGCTCCTGCATCTGCTGAGATGGACACAACGGAGGACAGATGAAGAGAGAGCACGGTCCCCCGTCTCCACCCCCCACTCACTCAGGCTGACTCACCCCGTCACGGCTGAGGGGCAGCCCCTCCTGTCCCCTCCGAGGTAACGA